AGCAATTGAGAAGAAGACTTGATCGTTGGGACAATACGTTTATTCGCCTGACAATTCAGCTCGAGTATTCATCTCAGATTAAGGCTCGGACGTAGGAGGAGGTCCCTCCTCAGGACTTAACCGCAAGTTCCCACATTATGTTTTTTGAATACTTTTAGAGGATGGTATTGAAAATAGGTGTACTTGCATACCAAAACGCACATGGGGGGGACGCTGGGGCACCCATTGATGAACCGACTCCCTCGCAAACATGTCATGCAGCTGCAGAATATCGATGAAATACGTGTCTGGGCTCTTAGCTGGTATCTGTGCTGTGAATATGGTGTGTCATGTAACCCGTGTGTCTACTGCTGGCTGTTAGCAGTGTAGTTAATAGTGCACTGTTATCCTATTGTAGTTGCTTGGAGTTGAGTCTCATTTTTCTTGGCAATCAGTTTGTACGTTTGGATGAGTTTATAAATATGACCCGAGCGGACCGCTTTATAAGAAAAAAATATCCAAAAGCTCACTTCGTCGCAAATTCTTTTTAAAACATATCTTTTTTGGAAGGATTTGAAAAGGACGTAGAACAATACCTAAATTCATGGGAAGAAAGCTTGAGAACACGGAAAATCGTGTAGTATTTACGGGAATTTCAAGGGCGACTTGAAGGTAATTAGAGTTCAAAACCAGAAATATCGCTAAAGGAATTTTACGGAGGGAAAGCTGTTCTAAGAAACGCAAAACGGCGTTTTTACGATTTAGCCTGACAACTCTATCTGCATTGATTGGTCACATTTACAGCGCTTTGTAAGTGTTTCGGAATTCGCTGCTTTTTTAAACAAGTTGGTATTTATAATGCGAATACTAGTACTTTGCGTATTTCCTGCGCGTTTTAAATTTGCTCAAGGCTGTTCACTTTTACTTCCAAAGTTTCCTCCATGCGCTAGTGCCGGTTTGCGAATGATTATCATTATCTTTCGAACATTTCGACATATTATATGAATTAGATGATCTACTGTACGCAAAGTACGTTGCCCATCCTCCTGTTTACTTTGGTTATCAAAGGCAGATGTTTGAAGAAATGGTCTTGCGCACGCAGAATATACACGCGCCTTTGCGTATTTCCTTCACATTTTAAATTTGCTTAAGGTTGTTCACTGTTATTTCCAAAGTTTCCTCCATGCGCTTGTGGGATACGAAGTTTTCCGGCTGGATAATTGAAGATTGAACGTATCCCAACGGTCACTAACTAGTAGATAAGCTCCGGCGTGGAAGGCCAGAGTGTTATGGATAATTTAATTAAGTGTAGAAGGAGTA